ATGATGGACAACTTAAAAGTGCTGGGGATAGGTGATAGAATGCGAGAGTGGATAAGTAAATTATATAGGGAGCCTACTGCAATCATCACGGTAAATGGGGAGAGATCAGAACCCATTGGAATGTCTAATGGTACAAGACAGGGCTGCCCACTGTCCCCTGTACTATATGTATTGTCACTCGAACCTCTGTTGTCAATAATAAGAAATAGTGGATCGGTAAAGGGAATCCAGATAGAATCCATAGAACATAGAGTAGCGGCCTTTGCGGACGACTTATTGTTCTATGTGGGAAATCCCCGAATAACTCTCCCAAATATAATGAAGATTCTGAAGGAGTACGGTGAACTATCAAATTTAAAAATTATCCAACGAAAACAGAGATCCTGAATATTAATATATCAAAGAATGAAAAAAGAAAAACTACAAAAGAATTCCCCTTTATATGGAGAGAAAAAGAGATAAAATACCTAGGAATAAAAACTCACTGCCTCATCTAAGCATTTGTATAGATTAAACTATATATCTCTTTGATAAATGAGATCAGGGAAGATTTAAAAAGACAACTAGAAGGAGGAAAATCCATCCTGGATAGGACGTATAAACCTAGTCAAAATGGGTAATTATGCCTAAAATACTGTATAGATTTCAAATGGTACCAATTAAAATTCCAGAAGCCTTCTTTAAGATAATGAAAAAAAAATGTTAACAAGATACATATGGGAAGAATAAAAAACCCAGAATCGCATATGAAACATTGAGTAGGACTAAAGAGAAAGGGGATTGGGTCTACCAGATGTCAAGAGATACTATAAAGCAGTGGTTTTTTAGCAAGAATATATGACTGGACATTTAACCATAAGGGAAAAAGTTGGGTAACAATTGAAAATGATCTTAGTGGCATTAGATTGAACCAGATGATATGGGTTCCACCACAATTCAGGGAATTAAAGAAAGCACAAGTATCTACACTTTAAATGTTTCTTAGGGTATGGGACAATTAACACAAAAACATGAAATGGGAATTTATTCTATATTAATGCCTCTCACAAATACTGAGTACTTTCCCCCGGGAAAGAATAAGATATCAGGGAGATGGTTTAGAAAGGAGGATACCCAACTGAGAGATGTTTTTGGTTGGAGGGAGAATTGAGACCACTTAAAGATTTAATAGAGAAGAAGGGAGATTTTTTATTAGAATAGATGAGTGGAAATATCCATCAATTGAAATGTTTTATTGGAAATCTACCGAAACCCCTGAGAATAAAACAGGAGTGGAATATGTTCGAAAGGTTGTTAGAGACACGAAGGGATGGGAAGCACGGTATTTCAAAAGTGTATAGAATACTCACAGAATTAGACACAAACACAAAGTTTAATTTTTATCACAAAATGGGAAAGAGATATGGGAGTTGGGTTTGATGAGGATAGACAGAGAAAAATGTTTAGATTGATACACGATAATGTTAGTATGAGAGAGGTTGAGGTTAATTATAAGTGTGTGACACGATGGCACATTACACCAAGTGTAGAGCACAAGATGAATGGGGAAAACTCAAATATGTGTTGGAGAGGATGTGGAGAGATGGGCACGGTGTTTCACATATGGTGGGAATGTCCGAAAATCCAGGCTTTTTGGAAGATAATAGTCAAATTGATTAAAGAAATAACTGAAATTGACATAGGGTTAGACCCAACGACGTGCCTCCTACACAATGTGGAGACATCTGTAAAATAAATATAAAGATTCAGGTATTTGGTACTTCTTGAATGCGGCGAAAGGGTTGATACCCAAGTTTTGGCGGAAAGCTGAGGTACCGAAGGAGGAAGACTGGATTAATAGAGTAAACCAGATAGGTAGAATGGAAAGATCATATCATATGCAGGAAGATAGGATGAGAGTTTATTTTAGGAGATGGGAAAAGTGGGAAAGAGCAGGATTGAAAGAGAAATATAGGAAAATATGAACTAGGGTGTTAGCAAAAAAATTAATAAGCCTCAAGAGAGTAGAATTGGCTAGAGTCTGCAGAGGGGGAGGAGGGGGGATGAGGGGCGGGAAGGGGGGTAGTGGGATGGGAAAGAAAAGAGTTTTTTTAGTAAGGGAAAGGTAGAAATGTTATAAATGTCTATTTGTATGAGAATTATTTCCCTTTTTTTGGGTTTTTGTATTAACATGAAAAAATTTAATAAATATTTAAATTAAAAAAAAAAAAAAAAAGATGCAACTGTGGATCAAATTAAGAGGACTAAAACTTCAGAGAGAGAGAGAGAGAGAGAGAGCGAGAGATCATTTTACCCCTGTACAAATCATTAGTAATACCTCATCTGGAATATGCAGTTCAGTTTTGGGCACCAATTCACAAAAAGAACATTGGGGAACTGGAGAAAGTACAGAGAAGGGCAACCAAACTGATAAAAGCATGGAGGAGCTCAGCTATGAGGAAAGATTAGAAGAACTGAATTTATTCTCTCTTGAGTAGATGAGATTAAGGGGGGATATGATCAACATGTATAAATACATCAGTGGTTCATATAGTGAACTCGGTGTAGAGTTATTCACCCTGAGGTCATCATAGAGGTCAAAGGGGCACTCTTTATGTCTGGAGGAAAAGAAATTTAATCTCCAAACACGAAAGGTTTCTTCACAGTAAGAGCTGTGAAAATGTGAAATAGACTCCCTCAAGAGTTGGTTCTGGCCAGCTCAGTGGATTGCTTTAAAAAGGCCTGGATTCTTTCTTGGATACACAGAATATAACTGGATACTAACAATTTTTATAGGTAAAGTTGATCCAGGGAATATCCGATTGCCTCTCAGGGGATCAGGAAGGAATTTTTTTCCCCTGCAGGAGCAAATTGGATCATGCTTTGCTGGGTTTTCTTTTTCCTTCCTCTGGATCAACTGTGGGTATAAGATTATAACTTTTTTTTTTTAATCGATGAACTGGATGGACTTTTGGTATCCCAGACCAGGTCTTCCAGGGCTGCTGTTAGAAATCATGGGGCCCCATACAGCCTACCTGTCAGGAATGGACTTGCCAGTAATGGTGGGACTCACCTGCCTTGTGGGCTGCAGTACCAGGGGCTGGCCAGTGGGTGCTCTCAGCAATCAGAGACTCAACCCTGCAGCCAGCCAAACACCTGAAGCTGATTATGCAGGTGTATTTAAGGGATGGCCAGACCTGCAGTCTGGGCCTTGGTGTGTGCTTTTCTATGGGCCCCTGTATCTTGTTACCTGCATCCCTGTTCCTGTTCCTGTCTGACTGATTCGTTGCTGACCCTGCCTGATCCGGACCTCTGCTGACTTCTCCTGTTTGATCCCTGGCTTGTGACCCCGACCATTCTCTGCCTGACCCCCTGTACCTACCTGCCCGTTAGTTTCTGTACCCGGCTCGTGACCTGACTACTCTCTGCCTGCTCCTCCTGTTCCTACCTGCCCGATTGTTATTGACCCGGCCTGCCTGACGACGCTTGCATTGTATGTATTGTTATCTGTGGGTGGTTTGGTTTGGTTCGTTTGCACTGTGTTATGTTTTAGTATTGCACTGCGTTTATGTTTGTATTGTTAGTCTTTAATAAATTGTCTTATTGTTTATAACATATCTGAAGCCTGCGTTTCCCTGTGTCAGTTCACATACCTCTGGTCATACCCTGGAGCCCTGACACTACCTAGCAGCCCCCGCCCCCCTTCGGGTCTCACCTTTAGAAATCATAGAGACTGTACAGTGTGAATCAGCATTTCGTTTAAGTGGCTGGAGCTGCCTGAAGCTGTGTGCAGGCAGTATATGTTACAGTACAACCACAGTATCAACATATGCAGCCATGTACAGTGCAACCACCCTTTGTGGCTGTACTGTATATGGCTGTATATGCTAATACTGTAGCTGTACTGTATAATGACTGTGCCTTCTGTGCCCTGCCGCCTGCCTGTACACTTGACACCGGAGTCCCACAGCTACTCCCTCAGCCACCTCTCACTCCCTGCCTGGCTACAGCTTCCCTCAGAGCTGACTGGGTATTACTCCGCTAAGGAAAGGCTGTATGCTGTCGCAAGAACTTGATCTCACTACCGGGACCTGTGCCTCTTTATTTGCCTGCATGGCAACAATAAAAGCCCCCTCACTGCTGTCACCTCCTGGGCCCCTCTGTCAGACTGAGTGGGCCCAGGTAAATGCAATTTCAGTCTTCAAGCCTAGTAGAAGTGATGGTGTTCATATTAAAGCTATTGCACCAGAAGTCAATAAATGAGCAGTAAAGCTTCGGCCATCCTGACTTCAAGATGTACACTGAGCTGCTTACATTGTAGGCAGCTCAGTGTACATTGTAAAAAGACTACAAACAGAGATGTGAGAATACTTTATTGCAAAACAGACATAATAGGTCTCTTTTGCAATAAAAAGCCTGAACACAAACTGCAACGTACCATATGTAAGCAGAAAAGTAGAATTATGTAAGGAAGCAGAACTCATCAACCAGAGAACAGCTATATCCCCAAATCACTGAGGGTGCAAGGAAGGACCAACAGTGTAGCAGGTGGCCCATAAAACACTAGTTTGACATGCGTGCCCTAACACTTATCAATTCTACTCAAAACTAAGAAAAAAATTATTACTGGATTTCCACTATTGAAAGCCCAACCATGGGTAAACAAAAAATTATCCCTTGCAGTGGGGCTGTGCCCATACTGCAAGGGTTAATTGCTTGTTATGCCTAGAGAAAAAATAAAGGAGATTTGCTTACCCAATCCTCTGATCTTCTCCACAGCTAGACTGGTCCCTGCATCTCCTGCACCTCTGCATTTTAGGGTCCTGACATCATCAAGACCAGAGCAGGGTCCATAGCCCTGCTCTGGACTTGAGGATGCTGAGGGATAGTCAACTACAGGAGCAATGTCTGCTGGGGGAGCAAAGGATCAGGTAAGTAAAACTGTTTGTTTCTCCCCTCCTCTAGACAAAAGGAGCAATTAAGCATTGATGTTACCAAAGTGTTTGATTCTTTTGTTGTACCTAGTTTTCTTAACTTGTATGCTGCTGCTTAGTTTTTCCAGGACATATTCTCCAGTGTCATGGTTTATTATCAGCACGCAGTCTTTCTGGTAGGGCCTCTTATTTCCTTTGAAGACAGTCATAGGAGGCGTTGAACCCTGAAACAAAGAGGAGAATTGATTTTAGTTACAAAGAACAGAATTTAATAAAACATTCATCCATCTTATTTTTTTTATCACATACATCCTGCTTTATGTATGAAGCAGTTCACATCCAAAAAAAAGAAGTGGCAAGCCTCCATTTTACACTCTCATATTCTAAGTTATCCACTGTAGGCTCAATGGGTCTTAACATGGATGTAATGGAAAAAACTGTGGTTCTAACCCAACTTATCGAAGGCTGCTTAAAAGAGAAGTATAGGTTTCCTAAAAAAGAAAAATTATAATCACTTAGGTGGATGCTGTATCTGTCCCCCAGCAGCCTCAAGAACTGAGTGATCAAACACCACTGATCGTTCAGCTCTCATTCTTCAGGCTGCAGAGGCTGAGAGCTGGAGAATGACCATTAACAGAGTATTGCACCAAAATCTTTTTTTTTTTATTAACTATATGGCATGAAACTAAAAATAACATATTATCTGCACCTGAGGTGCTGGGTGTGATTCAGTAACCCAAACCTGACAAAGGAAGGGTTTTCTTTAAGAACTCTTTTAACGCTTAACTCTTTTAAGCACAGTAAAGCCCTTGCAAAACAGAAGGTATTCACCTGTCTCATTCCAGCACATATCTCAAATATAAGTGGATTATTCCTCATTTCAGGAAAGTGGGCAAAGCTATACAAATCATCGTTTTATACCCAACTGGCCAGATGCACATACAGAACTGCTGGTGCATTGTGCAAATATAGCCTAATATGATACAGCCACTTATTCTGTAGTGGAATTTTCAGAATACTATATACAGGGCTTTTTTTGTCAGATACACCTACATGGTTCAGGAGTGCATTATGCACAGGTTGCAGGATTCAGTGTTCAGGAGTGCATTTCGCAATAGGTGCAATGTGCAGGAGTGCATTATGCAAAGGAGTGTAGGACTCAGAATTGCACATTGTGCACAGTGCAGGGTTCAGCCCTCTTCTATAGCTACTTACCTCCGCATCCCCCATTCACATCTCCCTTACCCTCCTCTGCTCTGACCTCTGCACCCCCGCTCCCCCTACACTGCCCTCATCTTTGCCCCCCCCCCCTTTCAAAGCTCCACCATCTTCTACAAGAATTCAGCACAGTAAAGCCCTTCTAAAGCAGGTATTCATATGTCTCATTCCAGCATAATATCTCAAAAGGAAAGTCGGCGAAGCCATGCAAATCATCGTTTTATGCTCCCCCACCACCAAGACGCAGGGTTCGGGAGTGCGTAGCCCACAGTGTGCAGGGAGCAAGAGTGCATTACGCATAGGGTGCAGGGCTCAGGAGTGCATTACACACAGGATGCAGGATTCAGGATTGCGCTATGCTAGGTTCAGCCCTCTTCCCTTGTAAAACAGGTATTCACATGTCTCATTCCAGCACATATCTCAAAAGGAAAGTGGGCGAAGCAATGCAAATCATTGTTTTTACCCCCTCCTCCCCACAGGATGCGGGGTTCAGAAGTGCATTACGCATAGGGTTCAGGAGTGCATTACGCATAGGGTTCAGGAGTGCATTACACACAGGGTGCAGGGTTCAGGAGTGCATTAAGCACAGGGTGCAGGGTTCAGGAGTGCGCATTACACACAGGGTGCAGGGTTCAAGAGTGCATTATGCAGCCCGCTCCACTGCCCTCATCTTCGGTCAGCCCCGAAGCTCCATCATTTTCCACGTTTATCTTTGTAAAAAGCACCTCTCAACAGCACACTCATTTGGCTCTACCTCTCCTCCACCAGGTAAGAGAACATGGAGGCAATGCCCCCCTCCCACCCATGAATACACCATGCCCAACCAGCTGTCCCACCCTTGTCTAATCCCTGAGTGTACAGGAAAAGTTCTGTGGAAGCCACCGCAAGAGGTGTGCTGTTACAGCGCGATTTCTGTGTTTCCAAATGACAGTAGTGAGCACAGGGCCAGAGGTGATAGAACAGAGTCCTGGCACATTTTGGCTGAAAAAAAAAAAAGCCCTGAAACATATGTATTTCATATTGATAACAACTAGCATATGCATTATTATTATTATTATTATTATTATTATTATTATTATTAATAATGTTAAGTAATAGAAACTTGAAGAGTATCACAATATACAGTGAGAAACAGAAGTATTTGAACACCCTGCAATTTTGCAAGTTCTCCCACTTAGAAATCATGGAGGGGTCTGAAATTCACATTGTAGGTGCATTCCCACTCTGAGAGACAGAATTAAAAAAAAAAATTCAGGAAATCACATTGTATGATTTTTAAAGAATTTGTCTTGCACTGCTGAACATAAGTATTTGAACACCTGAGAAACAGCAAGAATTCTGTCTCTCAAAGACCTGTTACTATGCCTTTAAAAAGTCGACCTCTACTGCACTCATTAATCTAACTTAGCCGCACCTGTCTGAGCTCTTTAAAGACACCTGTCCACCCCACAGTCAGTCAGATGCCAACTACTACCATGGGCAAGACCAAAGAGCTGTCAAAAGACACCAGAGACAAAATTGTGGACCTCCACAAGGCTGGAAAGGGCTACGGGGCAATTGCCAAGCAGCTTGGTGAAAATAGATCAACTGTTGGAGCAATTGTTAGAAAATGGAAGAGGCTAAAGAGGACTGTCAGTCTCCCTCGGACTGGGGTGCCATGCAAGATCTCACCTCGTGGGGTATCACTGATGATAAGAAAGGTGAGGAATCAGCCCAGAACTACAAGGGAGGAGCTGGTCAATGACATGAAGAGAGCTGGGACCACAGTTTCAAAGGTCACTGTCAGTAGAACACTACACCGTTGGTTTCAGATCATGCATTTCACGGAGGGTTCCCCTGCTCAAGTCATCCCATTTCCAGGCCTGTCTGAAGTTTGCCAATGACCATCTGGATGATCCAGAGGAGGCATGGGAGAAAGTCATGTGGTCAGATGAGACCAAAGTAGAACTTTTTGGTCTAAACTTCACTCGTCGTGTTTGGAGGAAAAAGAAGGATGAGTTGCATCCCAAGAACACCATCCCTACGGTGAAGCATGGGGGTGGTAACATCATGCTTTGGGGGTGCTTTTCAGTGAAGGGGACAGGACGACTGCACTGTATTAAGGAGGAGATGAATGGGGCCATTTATTGTGAGATTTTGAGCAACAACCTCCTTCCCTCAGTCAGAGCATTGAAGATGGGTCGTGGCTGGGTCTTCCAGCATGACAACGACCCAAAGCACACACAGCCAGGATAACCAAGGAGTGGCTCCGTAAGAAGAATATCAAGGTTCTGGAGTGGCCTAGCCAGTCTCCAGACCTAAATCCAATATAACATCTTTGGAGGGAGCTGAAACTCCGTGTTGCTCAGCGACAGCCCCAAAACCTGACAGATCTAGAGGAGATCTGTGTGGAGGAGTGGGCCAAAATCCCTGTTGCAGTGTGTGCAAACCTGGTCAAGAACTACAGGAAACCTTTGACCTCTGTAATTGCAAACAAAGACTTCTGTACCAAATATTAACACTGATTTTCTCAGGTGTTCAAATACTTATGTTCAGCAGTGCAAGACAAATAAATTCTTTAAAAATCATACAATGTGATTTCCTGAATTTTTTTTTTAATTCTGTCTCTCAGGGTGGGAATGCACCTACAATGTGAATTTCAGACCCCTCCATGATTTCTAAGTGGGAGAACTTGCAAAATCGCAGGGTGTTCAAATACTTCTGTTCCTCACTTTAGAATATGTACATTTAAAAGCTGAGCTCTAGATGACCCCCTACTTAATATTAGCATATGTTTTGAATTGTTTTTCAGTAGGGGCCTTTTTTGGATTGGTGTAGTTCCTTCCCATCATAACCTGTATAGTTACCGTATTTTTTGCTCCATAAGACGCACTTTTTTCCCCCCAAAAAAGGGGGAAAAATGTCAGTGCGTCTTATGGAGCAAATATAGAGCGGCCGGTCCGGTATTTTTACCGCCGCCGTGTCAGAATACCGGGCCGGCCGCTCAGCTCTGCAGTGGGACCTTACCTGTTCCTCTATCCAGCGGCGCGCTGTCTTCCCGGCTTCTGTAGTGTGCGTGACAGCCGGGTCCCAAGTGCGCATGCGCAAGAAGCGGTGCTCTTTGTGAATGGTAAGGTGGTACCTGGGACACATGACAGATCCCAGAAGCCGCCGGACCTATCACAAAGCGCAGCGCTTCTCGCGCATGCGCACTGGGCATCCGGCTGTCCGCCGAACGCCCACACTACAGAAGCCGGGTAGACAGCGCGCGGCTGGATAGAGGAACAGGTAAGATCAAAGAAAAACTCTGCGGAAGTAAGAGCGGGTACCTGTCAAATTCAGGTACCCGTTCCCCCTCCCTCCACAAAGGTCAGCAGTCATCTCCTGTACTGTCCACAGTCTCTGGTCATCCCTGTACTGTCCGTAGTCTCTGGTCATCCCTGTACTGTCCGCAGTCTCTGGTCATCCCTGTAATGTCCGCAGTCTCTGGTCATCCCTGTACTGTCCGCAGTCTCTGGTCATCCCTGTACTGTCCGCAGTCTCTGGTCATCCCTGTACTGTCCGCAGTCTCTGGTCATCCCTGTACTGTCCGCAGTCTCTGGTCATCCCTGTACTGTCTGCAGTTTCTGGTCATCCCTGTACTGTCCGCAGTCTCTGGTCATCCCTGTACTGTCCGCAGTCTCTGGTCATCCCTGTACTGTCTGCAGTCTCTGGTCATCCCCTGTACTGTCTGCAGTCTCTGGTCATCCCTGTACTGTCCGCAGTCACTGGTCATCCCTGTACTGTCCGCAGTCTCTGGTCATCCCTGTACTGTCCGCAGTCTCCTGGTCATCCCTGTACTGTCCGCAGTCACTGGTCATCCCTATACTGTCCGCAGTCACTGGTCATCCCTGTACTGTCCGCAGTCTCTGGTCATCCCTGTACTGTCCGCAGTCTCTGGTCATCCCTGTACTGTCCGCAGTCTCTGGTCATCCCTGTACTGTCCGCAGTCTCTGGTCATCCCTGTACTCTGCAGTCTCTGGTCATCCCCTGTACTGTCTGCAGTCTCTGGTCATCCCTGTACTGTCCGCAGTCACTGGTCATCCCTGTACTGTCCGCAGTCACTGGTCATCCCTGTACTGTCCGCAGTCTCTGGTCATCCCTGTACTGTCCGCAGTCACTGGTCATCCCTGTACTGTCCGCAGTCACTGGTCATCCCTGTACTGTCCGCAGTCTCTGGTCATCCCTGTACTGTCCGCAGTCACTGGTCATCCCTGTACTGTCCGCAGTCTCTGGTCATCCCTGTACTGTCCGCAGTCTCTGGTCATCCCTGTACTGTCCGCAGTCTCTGGTCATCCCTGTACTGTCCACAATCACTGGTCATCCCTGTACTGTCCGCAGTCACTGGTCATCCCTGTACTGTCCGCAGTCTCTGGTCATCTCCTCTACTATGTCTGCAGTCCATTAGTTCAGAATTTTTTTTTCCTGTTTTCTGCCTCTAAAACCTAGGTGCGTCTTATGGTCAGGTGCGTCTTATGGAGCAAAAAATACGGTATATGATGTTTTTAAGAACACAATGAATGTGGTTTTTGTTGTCCACAGAACAAGTGAAGCCAAACCATGGTCACTCAAACACCTGCCTCACAAAGGCTTCATATACATGAGTCTACCCTGACCGCCGGCCGTGGGAAAATGCAAATCGCGACAAAACCGTGGTAACACGGTTGCCGCATTTTGCATTTTCCCATGGTCAGCGGTCAAAACATTCCTATCCTGAACGCGATTCTTCCACGTTCAGAAGAGGGAGGTTTAACTTCACCTTGTGCTAAAAGTCTATGTGTACATGGACACGTAGGCTTTTATGGAGTTGAGTTTAGGAGCTTTGGCAAAAAAATGCCAAAAGCTCCTAAACTTAAGTTTAGGAGCTGCTCATGTACATGAAGCCCAACTCCCAGGAAATTTGCCTTTGAATTTAACAGTTTTCTCTAATACTGCCGATCAAAAATATATGAAAACATTTAAATTAGACAAAAACTATGACTTACTGGGATATGTGGTAAAGTTATAGTGACTTCATCACCTTTGCCGACTTGAAGTTCTCCCTCACAGGAGGTATCAATAGAGGCTGGCTTAAAATCATCTAAAAAGAAGAAGAAGCATAATTCAGTCTAGGGATTTCTCATTTAGCAAAATTCCACATTATACAGCCCAATCTGTATAATGTATATGTAACTATTTAATGTGCAATCAAGGTATGATACCTGTTCAAAGCTACCGGGGCTTTTCTAGTTTGTTCACTATGATTGAATATGAAAAAAAAATAACAAAATAACGACTCCCCTGATGTTTGTATCGAAATGCAAAACATTACTTAGAATCATTTTCAACGCCTGACTATTACGAATTCTACGTAGCCTGAGATCTCATAGAGATTGGTTATTGGTAATGAGTCTAAACCACATAAACTCATCTTTACAGATTTTCTCCCACAAGATCTGAGTACTGGCTTGGGGACATTTTACCATATTAACACTAGAGTGAGGACAATTGCTGCAATAGTAATGTTGCTTTATGAGTGTTTATTATTATTATACAGGGATTATATAGCTTACAATATAAAGGGAGACAATACAGCAACAATACAGTTCAATACAAGAGGGTTAGGAGGGCCCTGCTCCTTGGAGCTTACAATCTATACTGTATATTGGTGCTTACAATAGCTCAGGCTTAGTGTGAGTAAAATACTGTAGTTCATATACACACTTTAAAGTCATTTGAATGAGGAAGTTATAAGCTGTGCTGCTCCATGGTAATTTTTCATTATTAAACGCTCAAGTGAACATTCAGGTTAAATTAGCTAACAAAAAGTGTTCAATATCTTCCAGTTTGCTTTCTTTAACCACTTGCCACTAGCTAACAATACATTTACTGCTAGCAGGTGGCACAGTCCTGTAGATCGCGATAACCTTCCTGGGTTTTTGGATGCGAATGCACGCGGTTTATGCTCACCGAGTTGTGATTGCACAGAGCAGTTTGTCAGCATTATTTTCGCCGAAACTTGCTGATCGGCTGTGGCCAATCATGGCACAGAATTCTGTTTTTAAAAAACACAAAATACTCTGTGTACACCGAACAGCGATCTGGCTGTTTATTTTCCCTGAAAACCAGGGAAAAAAGCAGCCAGATCTGTGAGTAAAAGCAGCACACTTTACACTTGAAGCTCCATAGAAGAACACAGCGCTGTGGTGGTAGTAATGTAAAAACCCCACTAGGGGGAGAACCTTTTTTAGGATAAGCAATGGGACATGTAAAAACACTTAAAGTGGGGTTCCACTCACCCTGTCAAAAAATAAAAGTCAGTAGCTACTAAAACTGTAGCTGCTGACTTTTAAAAAACAGCCACTTACCTGTCCCTTGGTCCAGCAGTGTGTCCCCCCGCACCCCGTTTCACCGGCCGTCCTGAATTCCAGGAGGCTGGCATCTTCAGTGTGGGCAACCGGCTGTGATAGCTTGTCCCAAAAGTGTCTATAGCTGCAAAAATTCCAGTATATATATATATACCATAGATGCTATAACTTTTACAAAAAACAATTAATATACACTCACTGGTCACTTTATTGGGTACACCTGTTCAATTGCTTGGTAAAACAAGTTGCTAATCAGCCAATCACATGGCAGCAAATCAGTGCATTTAGGCATGTAGACGTGGAGACGATGACTTGCTGATGTTCAAACCAAACATCAGAAAGGGGATTTAAGTGACTTTGAGCATGGCATAGTTGTTGGTGCCAGACAGGCTGGTCAGAGTATTTTCAAAACTGCTGATCTACTGGGATTTTCACACACAACCATCTCTAGGGTTTACAGAGAATGGTTTGAAAAAAAGAAAACATCCAGTGAGCGGCAGTTGTGTGAATGAAAATGCCTTGTTGATGTCAGAGGTCAGAGGAGAATGTACAGCTATTCAGATGGTAGGGTCAGGATTTGGTGTAAACAACATGAAAGCATGGATCCATCCTGCCTTGTATCAACGGTTCAGGCTGGGGTGGTGGTGGTGTAATGGTGTGGGGGAGATTTTCTTGACACTAGCAAGGTGTACCTAATAAAGTTGCGGCTGAGTGTACACTTATTGGGATTTTTTTGTTTACCAAAGACATGTAGCAGAATACATTTTATCCTAAATGTATGAAAAAATTTTATTTTTTTGGATAGGTTTTACAACATAAATGAAAAAATATCTTTTTTTTTTTCAAAATATTGTCTTTTTTTGATATAAGAAAAAAACCCAGTGGTCATCAAATACTACCACCAAAAGAAAGAAAAGAAAGCTCTATTTGTGTAAAAAAATTATATCCTAGATTGTAAGCTCGAAATAGCAGGGCCCTCGATCCCCTCATGTTTTGCATTGTATTGTTGTTGTTCTGTCACATGTTCTGTCCCCCTTTGTAATGTACAGCGCTGAGCGAACTATTGACGCTTTATAAATACTGTATAATAATAATAATATCAATTTCATCTGGGTATAGTGTTGCATGACTGAGCAATTGCTAGTTAAAGTAGCACAGTGCTGAATAGCCCTGGTCACGAAGGGGGTAAAACCTCCCGGAGGTCAAGTGGTTTAAAAAAAATAGCTACAGTCTGAGTTGAAAAACCTATCCTCTACCAGCAAAAGAATGGGACCCATCTAAAGAAGAATAAAATTGTGGACAAGTGTTTACTATGTCTAAATGGAAACTGCACAGCGTCATTCCAGTTGCATCCTAAAAGTGGTTTGTGCCATCTGTTCTTATCTGGTACACAACTGCCTGTGTCTTTTCAACATCTCTATTGGTGAGAACCCTTTATTTTTTGTCTATGACCTTTTATGCTGCGTCCAGCAGTCATATTGGCAATGCAATTGCATCTATGTTTATTATGTTTTTTCCCTATGTTAACTGTTTATGGTTGTGCTGCCATTTTTTTTACCAATCATTGTGTTAAAGACACACATTGAGTCTTGGAAATAAATATTCTTTTTGACCTTCAAACACTGCAACATCTACTACATTATACTGTTTACCGCAACGCTTCTGCGTGCAATAAAGATATTTGTGGATGTCATGTGTTTGGTAATTTCAGATATCTGATGAAGATTGTCTGCAGTGATTGTTTCTGCTACATTTAGACCAGGCATAGAGGTCTCAGAAAGGGATAAGTCACTATTACAATACAGGGAGTCATGATACCCTTTATTGATCACCAAAGCTAAAGCTGGCCATACATGTACAATCTCCTTTAGATATAACTAAGCTATGTAATGTTAGGACCTACCTAAGTAATCCATTCAATTTATATATATAGTCAAGCAGACTCTTGCACTTGTTGTCAACAGGAATTTAAACAGTCTGATTATAATGTGTACTGTAGGATTTAAGAAGCCTAAAATCATTATTATTATTATACAGGATTTATATAGCGCCAACAGTTTGCGCAACGCTTTACAATATAATGGAGACAGTACAATTACAATACATTTCAGTACAGAAGGAATAGGAAGGCCCTGCTCGTGGAGCTTACAATCTAAAGGAAGGGGGAGAGTGATACAAAAGGCGATAGCTGCGGGGGATGATCTGGTGGAGGTGATTCAAGTACAGTTCTTAGGTGGAGGTGGGTAGGCTTCCCTGAAGAAGTGAGTTTCCAAAGATCGCCTAAAGGCAGACAGGGTGGGGGCTGACCGGACATGCTGTGGTAGGGAGTTCCAGAGGATGGGAGAGGCTCTGGAGAAGTCCTGGAGGTGAGCGTGGGAGGAGGTGATGAGGGAGCTAGAGAGGAGGATATCATGGGAGGAGTGGAGTGGGCGATTTTGGCGGTATCTGCGGATGAGGTTGGTGATGTAGCTAGGGGCAGTGTTGTGGATGGCTTTGTAGGCTATAGTTAGTATTTTGAATTTTATACGTTGGTTTAGTGGAAGCCAGTGAAGGGACTGGCAGAGAGGGGCAGCGGTTGCTGATCGGTTGGTAAGGGGTATGAGTCTAGCAGCAGCATTCATAATAGACTGAAGGGGGGATAGCCCGTGTAACAGTAGACCAGTGAGGAGGGAGTTGCAGTAACCAAGGCGAGGATACGTTTTTTTTTTATGGTGTCATTGGTCAGAAAGGGGCGGATTTTGGAAATGTTCCGGAGGTTGAGGTGGCAGGATTTAGCCAGTGAGTGGATGTGGGGCCCAAAGGAGAGGTCAGAGTCTAGGATTACACCTAGCATCCTGGCATGAGGGGAAGGACCAATGGTTGTGCTGTTGATCTTAATGGTAAAGTCGTGAGTGGCGGATCGGGGAGGAGGAAATATTACAAGCTAAATAAATAGATAAAGAGTGTTGAAATTTGTGAACATTTGTTATTAACCAGTTGCCCTCCAGAAGATTTACCCTCCTTCCTGACCAGGCCATTCCTTGCGTTATGGCGCTGCGTTACTTTAACTGACAAATGCGCGGTCATGCAACACTGCACCCAAATGAAATTTATGTCCTTTTTTCCCCACAAATAGAGCTTTTTTATGTGGCATTTAATGGCCTGTTCGTCTTTTATTTTTTGTGTATAAACAAAAAAAAGACCGACAATTTTGAGTAAAAAAATATATTTTTGACTTTTTGCTATTAAACATAGCCAGTAAAAAAATTTCTAAAAATCAAATTTTGTGATAAATATAGGCCAAAATGTATTCTGCTGCATGTCTTTGCTAAAAAACAAAACCCCCAATACCTGTAAACTCATTGGTTTACGTGAAAGTTATAGCATCTACAAACGATGGTACATATAGTTGTGCTCAAAGTTTGCATACCCTGGCAGAAATTGTGGCATTGATATTGAAAAGGTCTGTATGTAAACAATACCTACAGAAAAATACCTCATGGGTGGGAAGGTGAGAATAATACTTTCCATCCAAAGTCTGACTCCTACTCTATTTTTGAAATACCTAACTTCTCCTTTAAAGTACAGGTGACCAACAGACCTTTTCTTTTGTGGATCTCATGCTCAATTCCCAAATAGTCAATCTGAGTTTCTCTTCTGTGGATGCAAAATTGGTCCCTTGAACAGAGGGTGTCCTTTGCTTGTAACTGCATCTGAAGGACTTTGGTATAAACTCTATGTTTTTTTTTTTTCTTCCTGCCTCTGTGGGAGGACCCTTATATGGGACAAATAGGACGGCTCCATCCTTTACAATTTACTTTATCAGGGAGCAGGGGCTGGAATGTGTTTTAGCACAACTTGTGGAAAAAAAGTTGATCAGAAACAAGGATATTGTGGAATTTCCACTATCCACTTGCAAGGTGGCCTAGAGGAAATGTTTTTTCAAAGAGATCACCAACAGGCTTAATGATCCGCCTTTTACGACAATCTAAGAGGGGTTGCATTTGAATAATTTCATGCATGGCAAGTGTCAGGAATGGACTCGCTAATGGTGGTGGGACTCACCTGCCTTGTGGGCTGCAGTACCAAGGCTGGCCAGCGGGTGCTCTCAGCAGCCAGAATCTCACTCCTGCAATCAGGCCATCACCTGTGGCTGATTGCAGGAGGTGTATTTAAGCAGGACCAAGCCTGTGATCAGTGCCTTGGTGTATGTTTCCCTTGAGCCCCTGTACCTGCATCCTGTCTGCTTGCTGCCTGATCCTGCTTTGATCCTGACTCTGAACGAACTCTGCCTGTCCTGACCTCAGCTTTTCCTGACCACTCTTCAGCTCGCTCCTGGTACCCTGTTTGCCTGTTTGCTACCGACCTGGCCTTCCCGACTATGTTTGATTTGTATATATGGTTATCTGTTGGAGGTTCGGTTGATTGCACTGTGTTATGTTTACCTTGCACTGCGTTTGTGTTGTTTAGTCTTTTAATAAATTGTCTTGTTTACTCTATACCTGAAGCCTGCATTTCCCTGTGTCAGTCCACACACCTCTGGTCATAGCCGAAGCCCTGACATTACACCAAGGCCATTCCTGACCAGAAGTGGCTGCACAGGGAAGCCATCTTGGCTTGTTGTGAAGGATGCATCCAGAGGAGGTTATATACTTGTATCTGCTAGTCTTAGATGACAGAGAATATGCCTATCAGACTTTGCAGGAGTATGCCAGGGATCAGCTGCTAGAGTGCATACGGGTCGCTCATTCCCTAGTAGATCAGGGCACAGAGTTCTCTGAGGTGCAACCATTGATTCAGGCTTGTGTTGAGTTGGCTTCATCTAATACCCCTGAAAGCAGGGATGACTTTCTTCCACCATTCAGTACGAATCAAATAGAATCACTGGTATGGTTGTTGGAGGATGATCCGGATTGCTTCTGGGAGCATTATTCAGCATGTTCACCACATGTGCTAGTGGACTGTATAAACGCAGTGCAGTCTTTGTCAGACAGGCTATGTGTAAGCTGAGTTTTGTTCAACCAATACTACAGTCCTGGTCAGACTTGTTACACCCAGCCTCAGGCAGCTTGCAACAAACCAGTCCTGCTTCCAATCATTCCTCTGCTCAAAGCTCTACTCCTGCATTCCCGACAGCCCCCCCAGTGACAGCCCAATATACCCTGCTATCTACCACATGTCAGTACCCTGTTCCCACTCGCTGCACCTATCCTGCCTTTAACCCTGTAAAAAAGGCCACTGTAGCAACTATTCCCTCCTCTGTTCCATCCTCCAGCTCTTCTCTGTCTCCAGCTACTCCCTCCATTTACAGACCTGCATTTACTTGCAGTGCCCCAGTAACTAAACCCAAGAAGAAGCGAAAATTCTTTCCTACCAGTATCCAAATCGGTCAGCCTGCCGTCGGTGAACCCGCCTTCCGTTGTTCAGCCTGATGCCCTGATGCCTGATGACCCAGTGTACGCTACCCAGCCTGATGACCCGACCCGGCCTGATGACCCGATCCGGCCTGATGACCCGATCCGGCCTGATGGTCCTACCCAGCCTGATGGTCCTACCCAGCCTGATGATCCTATCCAGCTTGATGATCTGGTGCCCGCTACCCAGCCCGATGACCGGATCCAGCCTGATGACCGGATCCAGCCTGATGACCCGATCAAGCCTGATGACCAGATCCAGCCTGATGATCCTACCCAGCCTGATGATCCTACCCAGCCTGATGATCCTATCCAGCTTGATGATCTGGTGCCCGCTACGCAGCCTGATGGTCCGATCCGGCCTGATGACCTGATCTGGCCTGATGATCTGGTGTACGCTACCCAGCCTGATGACCCGATCCAGCCTGATGACCCGATCCAGCCTGATGACCCTACCCAGCCTTATGACCCGATCCAGCCTGATGATCCTGTCCAGCTTGATGATCTGGTGCCCGCTACCCAGCGTGATGGCCCGATCCAGCCTGATGACCTGAGACGGCCTGATGACCCGGTCCAGCCTGATGACTCGTGTCCGCTGTCGAGCTTGGTGACTCGGTGCCCGCTGTCGTACCAGATGACTCGGTGCCCGCTGTCGTGCCAGATGACTCGGTGCCCCCCTGTCGTACCAGATGACTTGGTGCCCGCTGTCGAGCTTGGTGACTCGGTGCCCGCTGTCGAGTTTGGTGACTCGGTGCCCGCTGTCGAGCTTGGTGACTCGTTGCCCGTTGTCGTGCCAGATGACTCGGTGCCCGCTGTCGTGCCAGATGACTCGGTGCCCGCTGTCGAGCTTGGTGACTCGGTGCCCGCTGTTCTGCCAGATCACTCGGTGCCCGCTGTCGAGCTTGGTGACTCGGTGCCCGCTGTTCTGCCAGATGACTCGGTGCCCGCCGTCATGCCAGATGACTCGGTGCCCGCTGTCGTGCCAGATGACTCGGTGCCCGCTGTCGTGCCAGATGACTCGGTGCCCGCTGTCGAGCTTGGTGACTCGGTGCCCACTGTCGTGCCAGATGACTCGGTGCCCGCTGTCGAGCTTGGTGACTCGGTGCCCGCTGTTCTGCCAGATGACTCGGTGCCTGCTGCCTCGCCTGATGGCCCGGTGCCCGCTGCTCCGTCTTATGGCCGGTGCCCGCTGCTCCGCCTGATGTGCCTCTGTCCGCTGCCCAGCCTGATGTGCCTCTGTCCGCTGCCCAGCCTGATGTGCCTCTGTCCGCTGCCCAGCCTGATGTGCCTCTGTCCGTTGCCCAGCCTGATGTGCCTCTGTCCGCTGCCCAGCCTGATGTGCCAGCCCCTGATATCCAGCCAGTTACCTGACCCGGGCGGTGGAACATTTTGCCCACTAAGGACTGTTTGGAGCGTCCTGAGGCCACTCCTTGAGGGGGGGGGTACTGTCAGGAATGGACTCGCCAATGGTGGTGGGACTCACCTGCCTTGTGGGCTGCAGTACCAAGGCTGGCCAGCGGGTGCTCTCAGCAGCTAGAATCTCACTCCTGCAATCAGGCCATCACCTGAGGCTGATTGCAGGAGGTGTATTTAAACAGGACCAGGCCTGTGATCAGTGCCTTGGTGTATGTTTCCCATGAGCCTGAGTACCTGCATCCTGTCTGCTTCCTGCCTGATCCTGATTCTGCTTTGATCCTGACTCTGAACGAACTCCGCCTGTCCTGACCACTCTTCCGCTCGCTCCTGGTACCGTTTGCCCGTTTGCTACCGACCCGGCCTTCCCGACTATGTTTGATTTGTATATATGGTTATCTGTTGGAGGTTGGGTTGATTGCACTGTGTTATGTTTACCTTGCACAATGTGTTGTTTAGTCTTTTAATAAATTGTCTTGTTTACTCTATACCTGAAGCCTGCATTTCCCTGTGTCAGTCCACACACCTCTGGTCATACCCGGAGCCCTGACAGCAAGACACAGGAACTGCCCCTTTTGCATCATCCACAAAGAAACTGCCTTTCATGTTTGAACCTGTTGAGGTTGCTTTGCACAGCACCAGAAAGTACGTCATCCAGCAGAAGGAGAGGATGTCCATTTAGGACTGTTTCAGACTAGTTAACAATCTGTTCAGAGACCATAACCTTATGGACTCTAAGAAGAGTGTGAGAAGACTTCCCCTTCCCTCACCCTCCCTTACGTGTCTATGTCCTTCAATAAAGCTTCCGGAATGTGAGGCTTTATCCCTCCCTTACCCCTCCATCCTACCCTCCATCACACCCATTGCTTGTTGAAATAGTTTTAAACAGTTTGCTCTGTTGCACTGCCATGTAGGATGTGCAGGACAGGAGTCCATCACCTGGTGGTACCTTAGGCACTCACATAATACTTACAGGGTAAAGCACTGTCATGTATGAGGTGATAATTCGGGAAATTTGCCCCACACACCTCAGGCATCATACTGCTGAGTGAATGTAATTTATTGTGTGATTGGAAATGTATTGTTATGTGGTGTATTTATGCACCACATAAGTTGCAGTACAGGTGAATGTATCTTGACAAAGTGTTTATATATATATATTATATATATATATATATATATATATATATATATATATATATACATAAAATTAGCCCCTGGTCTCCTGCACGGGAGAGGAATTGATTCTGCCACTGACAACCACTGAAATAATTTAAAGCACACTCTCCTGGGCCACAAAGGATCAATGACTAAAACTTCTACCTGCTCCTCCCATATTTCATTAAGCGAGAGCAAAAAGGGCATCCAACCCTCCTAGATGGTCTGTCTTGTTTAAGGGTGAAACTCTGAAAGAAGGGCAAAAAGATCAAACACATCATTCTGCTTAATCCAGATCCGTGCAGCTGTGGGAATCAGCCTGGACGTATTATTTTCCTTTTAGATGTGCTATCTTTAAAGAAAGATCATGAACCTCCACCCAGGAATATATGTTTTGGCTGAGCTCCCACAACCAGGGGCTCTTTGTATCTCCCAACAGGTACATGAATTTGTCCGTGTCTTCACTGTGGAAGGGGTGTCCACACTGGACACTCCTTCTGTGAATTCACTTCCACCTTCCCTCCCCAACCACTGCACCCATCACAATGACAGGCGTTTGGCTGTGCAGTTTTATACTAGGGGTGTACAATGCCTGATTAGGAACTGAGAGGCTAGTTTCCCATCATGGTCCTGTCACTTTTGATTCACAGCTCATGGCAGTGCTATTCAGTCCAACAGTGACTTTCAAATCTGCCTACTGCCATGCACTGTCACTTAAAACTGATACAGACCTTATGGGAACCCATATTTGGGTAATGATATTGGCTGTATCCCTGGCTCTTTTGCTTGCAGTTAGCTTACAGCTGGGGAATCTCCTGTCCGATAGAAAAATGAGGCAGGGGATACAGCCGCGTGTGGGAAACTGTCACATACATGACAGCTGGAGAGCCTTCCTAATCACTTTCATTTCCCTGAAATTGAGGAATTGCAGCTTCACCAAAACGATTGTTGGGTAAAGCCTCTGCGTTGTTCCAGAGGAGGACCTGGAATGAGAATTTCCTGAAGGAACTTCAATTTTTACTGCCACATCCATGACCATACATAGAAGGTCTTGGGGTAACTTTTGAAACTTGGAGGTGACTGGGCATTAAATTCCAGACTATATCCAGTCTTGATGGCCAAGAGTGTCCAAGGATTTGTAATGATCTTCTTTCAGCCTTCCAGAAACCATGAAAGTCTCCTGCCTACCAGATACAAGTCATTGTTTGGGGTACTTGTGGGCACTCTCAGCACTGTGGGGATTACACAGAAATACCCTGGATTTTCTCTAGAACTGTCACCACTCACCTTATACTCATTTTTTTATTTGGCCACTTGTGGGACTAAATTCTTTTTCCTTGTAAAATTCTTCTGCCTCATTCTGCTTCAGGATATATATCTTTTCATTCACTGCTTTGTCTAAGGCTGGCCATACATTATACAATTTTCTTGTACAATTTTTCTTACGGTTTACCAAAAGCATATAATATGAGATCAGACTGAAACACTTTCAATTTGTATGTAATCAGGCAGGCCCTTTCATTACATAGTTGAATGTAAATCTAAAGGAGATGGAAAAAGAAAATTCTATAATGTATTGGAAGTTTAGACAGCATTCAGAGTATTTCCAAAGAAGAATTCCCCTTCCAAGGGGATGCCACAGTTTCACCTTGGATCCTGCATCACCCCACCAGGATTTATTCCAAAGCACTTCTCTAGCAGAGTTGGAGAAAGTAGCTGTTTTAGCAGCAATGCAGTTATTTTCCAATAATGTGTTGGAGACATCATCTACTGCCTTGGAGAACCGATAGCGACTCTAGAATTCACTGTCTGGGAGTTCCTTTCTGCAGATAAGATTCCAGCTGCAAAATACAATTTCTTAAAGATCTGGCGACCTCTGTGATGGCAATGCTGGGATAGAAGATCATGGTAACCGTTTCCCAGGTTCTTCTTAGGACCGAATCTGCCTTCATTTCCATTAGGTCTTTAAAGGAACCATATCTCCAGAAATCTCAGAGACTTGTACACCTTGGGGCTTACCCCAAAACTTTTCTAAGGAAAAGGGAAATATTTTCTTGGAAGATCTGGTCATAAACAATGGTTTATTTTGAAATTTCCATTCACAAGTATTTAATATCACAGTGAATAGAAAAGATGAGATCTATCTTTTCTTCTAGGCCCTCATAAATATTGTTTAAAATGATAAAGAAGCGACACTAAGCACTAATTTTTTTTTTTGCTTTCGCTAAAATGGTCTTTATTAATCCCTCTATCTCTTCTGTGGAAAATATTTTAAAAATGTTGCCACAATCTGCATCAGCTCCCTCTTGCAGAGACTCATCGCTACTAGTCCCAGTCTCTTCCAAGAGAGATTGTTCCTGTGACTGAAGGGAGGAAGCTTTAGGAAGTGTCTGAGAAGTAGGAACATTACATCTATCTATCTATCACACTTTCAACTGCAGCCATCCTGTACTTGCATTTAGTACATAAAGGTTTAGAGCTTGAATCAGATGGTATTGAACTACATAAAAACCACAAATATGTGCGCTATCACCCCTAGTGATCAACATTGTAGACAATGTTAAAACTATCCTAAAGGATAAAAGACTGAGACAAAGACAAAAAGAAAGGGTGCATAGTGCATTATTGTAAGACCATTTTGTTTAAAAATAATGTACACTATAAAGTAATCACAAATGTGAACAACTGCAAGCATGGAATCAATCCAGCCCCGATGCTTAATGATGCCCATCCACAAGGACGTGGCTTATGCGCTTCAAGGGAAAAGCTCTGATGAAGAGGGCATTGCCCTTAAAACACATAAGCTATGCCTTTGTGGGTGGACCCTGTTCAAGCATCAGGACTGGATTGATTTTATGCTTGCAGTTCTTCTCTTTGTGAGTATTTTGGAGTGTACATTCTTTTTATAATAAAATGGTCTTGAAATAATGCACTAGGCTGGTGTACCCTCTCTTTCTGTTTTTATTTCAGCCATTGTTCTAAGGATTTCCTCCATCTAAAGCAGGCAGCAAGGCTACATGTATGTTGCAGAATTCCTCAGTGTCAGTATCTTCCTGTGTTTCGTGAGTCTGAAGAGAAGCACTACATGAATTCGTCTCTATAGACTCATAGGACTTTGACCACTTGACCTCCAGAGGATTTACCCCCCTTAATGACCAGGCCTCTTTTTGCTACTCAGCGCTGCACTAATTCAACTGATAATTGGCACGGTCATGCAATGCTGTAACAAAACGAAAATTATGTCCTTTTTTTCACACAAATAGAGCTTTCTTTCGGTGGTATTTGATCACCTGTGCGCTTTTTATTTTTCACGCTATAAACAAAAAAAAGCCAAAAAGTTTAAGAAAAACAATATTTTTTACTTTCAGCTATAAAAAATATATAGTAAACTCAAAGTTGGTTATAAATTTAGACCAAAATGTATTCTGCTACATGTTTTTGTTAAAAAAAATCCCAATAAGTGTATATTGATTGCTTTGTGCGAAAGTAATAGCATCTACAAACTATGGTATAGATACTGCAATTTACGCCATTTTTCTGCTATACAGCGCTGCGCTAGTTTAACGGACAATTGCGCGGTCATGCAATACAGTACATAAATTAAATTTACATCCTTTTTTTCCCCACAAATTGAGCTTTCTTTCGGTGGTGTTTGATCGCCTGTGCGGTTTTTATTTTTTGTGCTATAAAAAAAAAGGCTGACAATTTTGAGGAAAAAAACAATATTTTGGACTTTTTGCTATAAAACATGTCCAGTAAAAAAAAAATGTAAAAATCAAATTTAGTCATAAATTTCTGCCAAAATGCATTCTGCAATATGTCTTTGCTAAAAAAAAAAACCCAATACGTGTAAATTAATTGGTTTACGTGAAAGTTATAGCGTTTACAAATGGCGGGAAAGATACTGGGATTTTTAGGTTTTTTTTATACTAATAATGGCGGCGATCAGCGACCATCAGCGATTGCGGGACTGCGGCGGACATTCTGACATTGGGGGGTACTGACTTGGGGTCACTGACATCCCCATTGACACCAATACAGTGATCAGTGCAAAAAAAAAAACACTGACACTGTACTAATGGCACTGGGGAGGAAGGGGTTAACTTTATTTTTCAGGGAAGGGTTATCTGTGTGAGTGGGAGTGTTTTACTAGGGGGCGGGGGTGTGTGCTGGATGGGGACAGGCTGATTGGGAGAGAGAAACTCTTCTGTCCCGATCAGCTTGTCCTCGAGCTGTCAGGGAAGTGACAGAAAGCACAGCTACTCCAGCTGTGCTCTCTGTCACTGATTGCCGCCGATCGCCGGGAGATAGCCGGTAAGGACCGGCTGTGACCCGGCGACTGACATCCGCGGCTGTGATCAGCGGGACAGGTAGGGAGGCGCGCCTCCTGTGCGCCCCTACCTGTTTACAAAACACACGTTTTAAAACGTGGTTTTGCCTGCCCGTGCCGCCCAGCCGCCGTATTTATACAGTGGCTGGGCGGCATGTGGTTAACTTTCTACCCATCAGTAACACCGATAGTTGTTCTTAATGTTCTTGTATGCAAAGGAAAATCAAAAGAATACACAAATGAAAAACAGCGCTGAAGCCCTAACCTAATATCATGCAATCTCTCTGCAAATTAAAAATGTAAATGTTTTATTGTTACAGAAATATCTAGATAGAATAAAGGTGCATAAACCACTTGAACAGGATGGCATACACCCACGGGTCCTTAAAGAATTAAGCTCGGTCATTTCAAAGCCATTGTTTCTAATTTTTAGGGACTTTTTAAAGACTGGCATAGTACCACTGGATTGGCGTAAGATGCGTAAGATTGGTGCGTATATTTAAAATTTTATCAAAATCATTATAGACCTGTTAGGTTAACATCTATAGTTGGGAAGATACTGGAGAGTTTAATAAAGAACCACATAGATGAGTTCTTGCTGGAAAAAAATATTTTAAGCAACAGACAGCATGGATTCATGAAAGACAAACGTTGTCATACAATTCTGATTTCTTTTTATGAGGAGGTGAGCAAAACCTTGGACAGAGGGGTGGCGGTGGACGTGGTATACTTGGATTTTGCAGAAGCGTTTGACACAGTTCCCCACACACAGCTAATGTGTAAGGTAAAGTCTACAGGCTTGGAAAAATCAATATGTGAATGGATAGAAAATTGGCTAAAAGACCGCATTCTTCTATAGTAGCGATTAATAGTTCATACTCTGAATGGTCTGGGGTTGTCAGTGGTGTACCCCAAGGTTCAGTGTTGGGACCCTTACTTTTTAATATATTTATAAACGATATAGGGTCTGGGATTAAAAATTCCAACCTCAATGCACTGTTTAATTGGACAACTATGTGGCAAATGACATTTAATATTGAAAAATGTAAGCTTATGCACTTGGGGAATATGCATGCATCATACATATTGGGGGGGGGGTACAACTGGGGGAATCAATGGTGGAGAAGGATCTGGGAGTTTCTGGTACATCATGAGCTTAATAATGGCATGCAATGCCAATCTGCAGTTTCTAAAGCGAGCAAAATCCTCTCTTGTATTAGCCCCTTCACACCTAAGGGTAAAACAAATCTAAATGCCTACGTTGACATGTGTTAGTAAAACCATACATATCATCACAACTACTTTGTACATTCAGGTGGATTATACCGCGTTTTTTTCAGGACAGATTGTGCTTTCATTTGGTGGTAAATGGTAATGGATATCTTCTGATTTTTTTTTTATTATCAAAGGAAAACTAGCCCAAAATAGTAAAAAAAAAAAAAAAATCATTTTTTTTATTTAGCTGCGTGTTTCTTATTACTACCATAACCTACCACCAAAGAACAACCCGAAATAAATTCTCCAGCTTTTGACGATCGCAGCGATACCATATATGTGTATGTTATTTGTTGTTTGTACCCATAGTACAGCCCAGAAACAATAGTGCACATTTTGTTTTTTTTGTTTTTTTTTTTTTTTACCAAAAAAACACACTGACACTGACTGACACTGATACCAATTTGTCTTTAAATCCTGACCTTTGACCCTGACCTTTTGACCTTGACCTCTGACCCTGACTCAAACAATAACCCTGGCGGTGAACTAGATCCAACCTTGGTTATTGCATTCTGTGAGAATATTGATAATGTTGGAGATTTGGAAGCTGCACCTCAAATATCCTTTTAAATTATAATTAAGGACGTAAACTGACAGGTGTTCTGCCTGCTGCCTTATTTCGACTCCCACACCTGCCCCCCCGGGGAGAGTTGATTTACGTTTACGATCATACATTAGGCCCCCTTTGCTTGGTGTTGGACTCTTCTAATTTGCTCCCCTCACCTCTTGAAGAAGCAGGGACAATCCCGCAAAACGTGTTGAGAGATATAGAAAGAAGACCTTCCCATGGTGGACACCTGACTCATTGCTACATTGTTGTCAATTGAGGATATAGTGTTATTGTGAATCTTTTGAGACTGTCTCTTTATGGGGGGTATTTCAGAGAGGTTATATTTTTACATATCAGGGTTGCACTGATACTGGTACCAGTATTGGTGCCGATACTAAGCATTTGCATGAGTATCGGTACTTGTGCAAATGCTCCATTACCTAAAACCAATACCTTCAGGTTACGTTTTTTGTAAATTAGAATTGGCTCATTGTCATCTATGGGCATGTCATAGATGGAAGGCTGACATCGGCACATTGTCATCTATGGACAAGTCATAGATGGAAGGCTGAGATCGGCACATTGTCACCTATGGACATGTCATAGATGGAAGGCTGAGATCGGCACATTGTCACCTATGGACATGTCATAGATGGAAGGCTGATCATGGGATCATTGTCATCTATGGACATGTCATAGATGGAAGGCTGAGATCGGCACATTGTCATCTATGGACATGTCATAGATGTAAGGCTGACATCGGCACATTGTCACCTATGGACATCTCATAGATGGAAGGCTGAGATTGGCACATTGTCATCTATGGACATCTCATAGATTTAAGGCTGAGATCGGCACATTGTCATCTATGGACATGTCATAGATGGAAGGCTGAGATCGGCACATTGTCATCTATGGACATGTCATAGATGGAAGGCTGAGATCGGCACATTGTCACCTATGGACATCTCATAGACGGAAGGCTGAGATCGGCACATTGTCATCTATGGACATCTCATAGATGGAAGGCTGAGATCGGCACATTGTCATCTATGGACATGTCATAGATGGAAGGCTATCATGGATCACATTGTCACCTATGGACATGTCATAGAGAGAGATCGGCACATTGTCACCTATGGACATCTCATAGACGGAAGGCTATCATGGGCTCATTGTCACCTATGGACATGTCATAGATGAAAGGCTGAGATCGGCTCATTGTCACCTATGGACATGTCATAGATGGAAGGCTGAGATCGGCACATTGTCACCTATGGACATCTCATAGACGGAAGGCTATCATGGGCTCATTGTCACCATCGGCTCATTGTCACCTATGGACATGTCATAGACGGAAGGCTGAGATCGGCACATTGTCACCTATGGACATGTCATAGACGGAAGGCTGAGATTGGCACATTGTCACCTATGGACATCTCACAGACGGAAGGCTGAGATCGGCACATTGTCACCTATGGACATCTCATAGACGGAAGGCTATCATGGGCTCATTGTCATCTATGGACATCTCACAGACGGAAGGCTGAGATCGGCACATTGTCACCTATGGACATCTCATAGATGGAAGGCTGAGATCGGCACATTGTCATCTATGGACATGTCATAGATGGAAGGCTGAGATCGGCACATTGTCACCTATGGACATCTCATAGATGGAAGGCTGAAATCGGCACATTGTCACCTATGGACATGTCATAGACGGAAGGCTGAGATCGGCACATTGTCACCTATGGACATCTCATAGACGGAAGGCTGAAATCGGCACATTGTCACCTATGGACATGTCATAGACGGAAGGCTGAGATCGGCACATTGTCACCTATGGACATGTCATAGACGGAAGGCTGAGGCTGAGATCGGCACATTGTCACCTATGGACATGTCATAGACGGAAGGCTGAGATCGGCACATTGTCATCTATGGACATCTCATAGACGGAAGGCTGAAATCGGCACATTGTCACCTATGGACATCTCATAGACGGAAGGCTGAGATCGGCACATTGTCATCTATGGACATCTCATAGACGGAAGGCTGAAATCGGCACATTGTCACCTATGGACATGTCATAGAGACTGAAATCGGGAATGGCTGAAGATCGGCACATTGTCATCTATGGACATGTCATAGACGGAAGGCTATCATAGGCTAGTTGTCAACTACGGACACAACAGGAAGGCTAAGCTTGGTTCCCTATCATGTTGGACATTTCAGCGGTCATTATAAGAAGACATGACGTCAATCAGTAAACACGGCCTGGGATTGGTCTAAGCCGCCCACGTCACTCCCCGGTACTCACATCGTACTGTGTGGAAGGAGGAGCGCGGCTTTTCTCGAAGCTCTCTCCTAGTCTCAGAGTGTGCTCCTCCCGGTCTAAAGGCGGCGGTGGGGGCGTCCCGTTCATTCTTACGGATTCTGTATATACCGAGCGATATGCAAATAATCACGTCAGCAAGCTACACTCTCTATCTCCGGCGAGCATGCGCAGCCTCGGCTTTCCCATTGGTCTGCACTCCGCAGTTACCCCAGTGACGTACGGACTGTACAGTATGAATAATATTCCGGAGGGAACAGAACATGTGGTGAATGGTTCCCTTGATGAATGTGCTTCGTTGGGGAGAGCTGTGTGATGATGGGTATAGTAGTCCTGTAAGCTGTCGTTGATTCCAGGAGCAGGCCCGGGTTCTGAAGACTGGTCCTTGTCTTCTCACTTGTTAACGAGCTCAGTGCCATGCTGCTTTGTAACAGTGTTGTGGGAATCTAGGTATGACTATTTGTTGGTATATAAATGTTTGGGGGGATATGAAGGATATGGTTAGCAGTCTTGTCTTAGGGTTAATCCCCAGAGACACGTCTGCATGGAGTTTGTATGTTCCTTCCGTGGCCCCTTTTCCATAATCTACAACCTGTTGGCGCATGTCTAAAGTGTTTGTTTGTTTTAGATAGAATATGAACTAGTTAAAGTAGAACTGAAGGAAAAACTTTTTTTTTTCACTTTGGATAGAGTGTTACAATCCTTGTAAGGATTTGTTGCCATCTGTGTCCCATTGGGGGGATTTCCCTTCACTTCCTGTCTTATAGCCAAAACAGGAAGTGAGAGGAAATCTCTCAAAGTGAGAGAATCCCTGGTAGTCATCAGAACTAGTGTCCCCATTGGAAGATGTCTCCTCTCTTCCTGTTCTGGTGACTTTTCTTCACTTTTCACAATAACCACCAGGACAAATAGAGTGTAAATTTTCCCAGTGGGGACACAGACCCGTGTATCACCAGAACTAGTGTCCCCATTGGAAGATTATTATTATACAGTATTTATATAGCGCTAAAAGGTTTGCTCAGCGCTGTACATTATAGTGGGGGACAGAACATGAGACAATACAGTAACAAAACAAAACATGAGGGGTCAAGGGCCCTGCTCTTTCGAGCTTACAATCTAGAAGATGTCTCCTCTGTTCCTGTTCTGATGACCTTTCTTCACTTTTCGCAATAATCATCAGGACAAATAGTGTAAATTTTCCCAGTGGGGACACAGACCAGTGTGTCACCAGAACTAGTGTCCCCCTTGGAAGATGTCTCCTCTCTTCCTGTTCTGGTGACCTTTCTTCACTTTTCGAATTAACCACCAGGACAAATAGTGTAAATTTCCCCATTAGGGACACAGACAGACCAGTGTGTTACCAGAACTAGTGTCCCCATTGGAAGATTTACTCTCTATTCCTGTTCTGGTGATAACAGTAAACAGGACAATAATGCAGGCTATAGACGGGACGAAAATTGGCCGATTTTTCAGCAGAAAAAAAAAAATCGGCCGATTTTCACACCGTTAATGGGTTAATTGGTCGGCCGTTTTTTTGGGGTTTTCGGTCCGTTTTCATCCGGGTAATTGGATCCTTATCCGTTCCTTTTTATCGGATCAAATGTTGGCTGGTGTAAACAGACACATGTTCATTTACACCTGCCAATCCATGGAGGAGAATGGAGGTTCCGATTGTGCCCACCTGAAAAACGGGCAGGCGGACCTGATCGGAACGTCCATGTGAAAGAGCCCTATATCTTTGCTTTCTGAGCCCCTTAAAGTAAAATGAGCATTTAACCCATGCAGTGCAGGCACAGCCCCACTGCATGGAAAAAGTTATAATTTCTTCCAGATTTCTTCTTTAAGTAATGCATTACAATTTAACTAAACCCATGAGATTTTAGTTTGAATAAAATGTAGAATATTTCAGTCGAATAAAAATTTTAAAACAAATTTAAAAAAGTCTATGACTAAAACTAAATCGAAATTTGATGTAAAAATTAATACTGGGTTGCAGAAAAGAAAATTGCTCGATTTCCCCTATTTACACATTCAGTGTTAATAGGGGAATCGCTACTGCTGCACTATTGTATTCTGACAGCAAGAAGAAGTTTCCCTGCCATTAGAATACAAGAAGTATATAACAAACCCCAGTGCACAGGAAAAAACCTCTAAGGGTATAGATTGCTGCTGCGCACAGGTATAATGAACCAATTAGTAAAGGGAATATAAATAAACAGCACAAATCAAAACCCCCTCATTCAATGAATAACATAATTGCCATATGGTGTAAAAATCAATATACCGTATTTTTCGCTCCATAAGACGCACCTGACCATAAGACGCGCCTAGGTTTTATAGGCAGAAAACAGGAAAATATTCTGAACCAATGGACTGCAGACATAGTACAGGAGATGACCAGAGACTGTGGACACAGTGCAGGGGATGACCGGAGACTGCGGACACAGTGCAGGAGATGACCGGAGACTGCGGACACAGTACAGGAGATGACCGGAGACTGCGGACACAGTGCAGGGGATGACCGGAGACTGCGGACACAGTGCAGGGGATGACCGGAGACTGCGGACACAGTGCAGGAGATGACCGGAGACTGCGGACACAGTGCAGGAGATGACCGGAGACTGCGGACACAGTGCAGGAGATGACCGGAGACTGCGGACACAGTGCAGGAGATGACGGAGACTGCGGACACAGTGCAGGAGATGACCGGAGACTGCGGACACAGTGCAGGAGATGACCGGAGACTGCGGACACAGTGCAGGAGATGACCGGAGACTGCGGACACAGTGCAGGAGACGACCGGAGACTGCGGACACAGTGCAGGAGACGACCGGAGACTGCGGACACAGTGCAGGAGACGACCGGAGACTGCGGACACCGTGCAGGAGACGACCGGAGACTGCGGGCACCGTGCAGGAGACGACCGGAGACTGCGGGCACCGTGCAGGAGACGACCGGAGACTGCGGGCACCGTGCAGGAGACGACCGAAGACTGCGGGCACCGTGCAGGAGACGACCGGAGACTGCGGGCACCGTGCAGGAGACGACCGGAGACTGCGGGCACAGTGCAGGAGACGACCGGAGACTGCGGGCACAGTGCAGGAGACGACCGGAGACTGCGGGCACAGTGCAGGAGACGACCGGAGACTGCGGGCACAGTGCAGGAGACGACCGGGAGACTGCGGGCACAGTGCAGGAGACGACCGGAGACTGTGGACACAGTGCAGGAGATGACTGCTGACCTTTGGGGAGGGTGGGGAGCGGGTACCTAAATTTGACAGGTACCCGCTCTTACTTCCGCAGAGTTGTTCTTTGGTTAGTGTCCGCTTTGCAACGGGACCTTACCTGTTCCTCTATCCAGCGCCGCGCTGTCTTCCCGGCTTCTGTAGTGTGGGTGCTCGGCTTGACAGCCGGATGCCCAGTGCGCATGAGCGAGAAGCGCTGCGCTTTGTGATTGGTCCGGTGGCCTCTGGGACCTGTCATGTGTCCCAGGTGCCGCCTTGCCATTCACAAAGCGCACCGCTTCTTGCACTTGGCACCCGGCTGTCAAGCCGAGCGCCCACACTACAGAAGCGGGAAGACAGCGCACCACTTGGATAGAGGAACAGGTAAGGTCCCGCTGCAGAGCTGAGCGGCCGACCCGGTATTTTTACACGGCGGCGGTGGAAATACCGGACTGGCCACTCCATATTTGCTCCATAAGACGCACTGACATTTTCCCCCCTTTTTTGGGGGGAAAAAATGCGTCTTATGGAGCGAAAAATACGGTAAATATAAAATAATAACATGTCCTTGAAAGAAAATATTATATTTCACTCATATTAAAGTGTCCAAAAAATATATAAAACTTAAATAAACAAAAGTCCTTTCTCCCACATGAATAGTGTGTTTTTAAAAAAAACTTTTCAAAAAAGATTGTGCTTCCACCATCGAAAAATCAACATCAACCGCACTCACCAGATGATGATGAGTAATGCACCTTTTTAGGATTTTAAGGATCCTAAACCCCCATTATAGCCTCTAGGACTCCTTTCCACCATATAGGAATTAGGATTCTCCTTCCACTCGCTCCTGCCTTCTCCTTTCACTAAACTCCACAGCAGTGCAAGGGAGAAAAATATATAGAATAGTGTAATACTGCTATTTACATGTGCAGTGCTAATAAAATGCCAGACCACTCACATTTCAAAGGATGAATAAAAGCATAGATTTATTGCCTGCATCAGCTAACATATACTCCAAAGTTTCCACAACCTCACATCAGAGACCTCAGAGCATATTTCTGCAGAGGATGACAGGATACAGCTCCAACAAACATTCAAGATGGCCGCTTGGAACGCACCGCTCGGCGTGCATTCCACTCACGAAGGAAGTGACACGGGACGTAAGGACGGCAGACCGGAAGTGCGTTGACGCGTTTCACCCCTCCCACAGGGCATTCTCAAGACACCTGCAGTCTCCAGCCGTTTATATGACAACACAAAGTCCCTCCCCTCTTCTCCCATAGGTTGATTCACCCTGATAGGTAAATTAACTCACTGTCATCCTTTGCTCCCACGCCATGAGATTCCTTTCACAATTAATAACAAGTCAATGGCTCAAAGCCTATTCTAATCATTGGTTCAACACTAAACCTTTAATAATATACTTCAACCAACCCCACCATTAAACCTAAACCCACTATAAGATCCAAAGATCTTATGAATCAACCTATGGGAGAAGAGGGGAGGGACTTTGTGTTGTCATATCAACGGCTGGAGACTGGAGGTGTGTGTCTTTTGTTGAAAATGTTATTTGTGATCTGTTGTTTAAAAAAATTGCATTTAGAAAAATATTGTGATCCTGGTTTGTTTTTCTTTTATGTTTCCACACTGTAGTTGTTTAGGATGGATTCCTGTGCCTTGGACAGGGATAACTCTGCAGAAAAGAATGGCTCTATCTGTGAAATACCTTCTACAGCAGAGGCACCATTTCAGAAGAAAGCTGACCAAGTGATAAACGTTAGCCCTGAAGTGGCACAAAAGCTAAAAAACGATAGAGTTCTGGTATCCGAGTTTAAGCAACTGAAACTAGAAACAGATGCACAGAAGAACTGGGACTTGTTCTACAAAAGAAATAGCACAAACTTTTTTAAGGACAGACATTGGACAACAAGGGAGTTTGAGGAACTCAAAGCCTGCAGGGAGGTAAGAACAGCTCTTTCAATTCAGTTTTAGTTTCACTATAGAATTTGTTCAATGGACAGGGAATCTTTCAGCCTGTTATTCATCCACAAATGGATGTGCCCCTACCAGCACTGTGGCTGTTAAAGCAAAACTTGAGGAAGTATACTGTTTTACCTGTAATTTTGTACAGCCAGTCTTGTGATTTACACACATTGTTTGCGTGGACAGACAAGGGACACATACAGTTCCTGATTTAGCTTTTAACTGGCAAATCAGTGTTCTATGTCATCCTATAGCTTTCAGTCTCCTCATTGTATAGTGAATCACCATCATTACTTCTGTTCAGTGAAGTGACCAAGAGAGTGCAGTAATGCTGGCTTAGGAAGTAGCAGAGCGAACTTACAGACTAGTAAAGGTGCATGTGTGTAGGAATATACTACGAAAAAATCTGAGCTAAGAAAAGCATTGAATGGGCATAGACAACAGATGATGGTGTTTTCCAGTGTGTGCGAAAGGCTGTACCATTTCTGTTAATAACTCTTTGTGCAAGTGTGGCATCGATTTAAGGTTTATGTTGGGCATAATATTCTGATTCAGTTCATTGTCGGTGAAGTTGAACTCCAGGCCAACCACAAAATACAAAAAATGCAGTCTGGAACGCATAGACATCACCAGACGCTGGATTTCATCCCTGGTGATGCTCTGTCAGGCCTCTACTGCAACTGTCTTCAGTTCCTGCTTGTTCTTGGGGCATTTTCCCTTCAGTTTTGTCTTCAGAAAGTGAAATGCATGCTCAATCGGATTCAGGTCAGGTGATTGACTTGGCCATTGCATAACATTCCACTTTTTTCCCTTAAAAAAACTCCTTGGTTGCTTTTGCAGTATACTTTGGGTCATTGTCCATCTGCACTGTGAAGCGGCGTCCAATGAGTTCTGAAGCATTTGGCTGAATATGAGCAGATAATATCATCAATAAATACAAGAGAACCAGTTCCATTGGCAGCCATACATGCCCACGCCATGACACTACCACCACCATGCTTCACTGATGAGGTGGTATGCTTAGGATCATGAGCAGTTCCTTTCCTTCTCCATACTCTTCTCTTCCCATCACTCTGGTACAAGTTGATCTTGGTCTCATCTGTCCATAGGATGTTGTTCCAGAACTGTGAAGGCTTTTTTTAGATGTCGTTTGGCAAACTCTAATCTGGCCTTCCTGTTTTTGAGGCTCACCAATGGTTTCCATCTTGTGGTGAACCCTCTGTATTCACTCTGGTGAAGTCTTCTCTTGATTATTGACTTTGACACACATACACCTACCTCCTGGAGAGTGTTCTTGATCTGGCCAACTGTTGTGAAGGGTGTTTTCTTCACCAGGGAAAGAATTCTTCGGTCATCCACCACAGTTGTTTTCCATGGTCTTCCGGGTCTTTTGGTGTTGCTGAGCTCACCGGTGCGTTCCTTCTTTTTAAGAATGTTCCAAACAGTTGTTTTGGCCATGCCTAATGTTTTTGCTATCTCTCTGATGGGTTTGTTTTGTTTTTTCAGCCTAATGATGGCTTGCTTCACTGATAGTGACAGCTCTTTGGATCTCATCTTCAGAGTTGACAGCAACAGATTCTAAATGCAAATAGCACACTTGAAATGAACTCTGGACCTTTTATCTGCTCATTGTAATTGGGATAATGAGGGAATAACACACACCTGGCCATGGAACAGCTGAGAAGCCAATTGTCCCATTACTTTTGGTCCCTTAATAAGTGGGAGGCACATATGTAAACTGTTGTAATTCCTACACCGTTCACCTGATTTGGATGTAAATACCCTCAAATTAAAGCTGACAGTCTGCAGTTAAAGCACATCTTGTTCGTTTCATTTCAAATCCATTGTGGTGGTGTATAGAGCCAAAAATGTTAGAATTGTGTCGATGTCCCAATATTTATGGACCTGACTGTATATAGTGCAAACAAGTGCGTGAATAGTGCAATCAAATAAATCACTGAGAGTCCGTGACGATCACAAATATTTTACAGCAGGCAGTGAAAACTGCTAATGTCCTTTATCCAAGTGTGCAAGTGCAAACGTGCGGTTATGAATGAAGAGAATCCACCGCTTCGGATGGATGTACAGTCACCAGACTGCAAGTAAATCAGCGCATCTGTTTATATCACACATCTGGGGGTATTGTCATGGAAATTTTGTATTTACAGGTTGAACTTTAAATGTGTCATATATTAGTGTTATTCATATGTCTCTCCTGTGGCTTAATTAAAGCTCTGAAGGCTGCAATTGGGCCATGCGCATTTACAATGTATGTATTACAGTACTCAGCTCGGTAATGGATGAGATGGCAGATCTGCGCTAATAGACCGGCGTGTATACCACCACGGCATTCGATGCGAATGCCGCCGGCGGTAGGCCGCGGGCCTGTATCCACATATCAGCAGCATAGTACCACATGGACTCCGTATCACCAGGCGCCAAGCAGTGCAAACTCTGTGTGTAGGCTCATGTATATCTTACAAGTCATTACCGACCTGAACTGTATCTGGATGGATGTGTTTAATAAAGATCGTATCGGGCCCATTCAGATACAGACTGACACTGTTTAATCTAGGGGATGCTTGTACAGAGAATGGACATACTGCTAGGAGCTGATAGGATAGGGGGAAGTTTACTCTCCTCAGAGAGCTCACCGTGGGAAAGGGGGAGGGGAGAACTAGTTTCCAGTATAGATAAAAGGAAAGGCTATGCTCCAATCAGGATGTACATTCTGTGTATAGACACTCCCCATGCATTGTTCTGTGGGAGGGGATTGACCTGACCCCCCCCCCCCCCGCGTGGGGGGGGGCGTGTGTGTACTGGTAATAAAACAAGAGGCTGAGGATACAGACGCGCTCTATGTGAATTCCAACAGCAACCTGAGAGTGTCGTGTGATCATTCCTAGGTAGCTGGAGCTCCATTTTACCCACATCTCGAGATAGCTAAACCAGTTGGAGGCGCAGGAGTCGTGGAGTTTAGCTGCAGTCGCGGTAAGTGAGATTCGCACAGCTTTATGAGGGATTGCT